CCCTCACATTTGTAGATGGGTTTAACGGTGCAGGCAGTAGAGAGGGAGGAGGTGAGAGGAAAGGATTCGGGAAGGGGAGGAGGCACCTGGTGCATCTTGATGAGGAAGCAGTCAATGAAGTCCCGTGGGTTTTGGGGGTCAAGGGATGCTTCGTTGATCTTGACCTTGGAAGCAACAAAGTCCTTGAGCTCTTCTATTAGGTTGTAGATGTGATTATGTTTTCCTGGCAAATATTGCATGATTCCAGAGTACATGTCATATAGCTGTGGGAACCGGCAAAAGGGATTTGTCAGTGGTCAGCACCGGGACTAAGTGGAATCAGATAGCCGGGCTCAACATCTGGAGTTGGGTCTAAGAAGTGGTTGAGGCCCTTTTGCTTCTTGGACACTCAGTTATATTAAACAGCAGTTCCCCCTTACTGTGGCTTTACTTTCTATCGTTTCATTTACATTCAGACAATTATTTTATGAAGATACTATATAAAATAAAAGAGAGAGAGAGAGCGACCTAGCACAGTCATATAACTTAGTAGAGTATATTATAATTGATAAATTAAACTTTATCATAGATATGCATGTATAGGAAAAACTTAGCATATAGAGTACTTAGTACTATCCACAGTTTCAGGCATCCCCTGGGAGTCTTGGAACATATCCCTTGGGGATGGGGGGGGTCTACTGTACTTGAGTGGGGTATAAGAAGGTACTCAGTTAACTACTGGCAGCATGGGCACAGAGGCGGTTAGGTGGCACCTGTGCCCAGGGCGTGCTCATCTCAATGAAAGTCTCATTCATCAGCTGCAGCAGGCGCAAGAACTGCTTATCCTCATAGTCGAAGCGACTTCCGAAGACCACAGAACTGATGACATTGGAGACGGTGCGGCTCAGGAAGAAGGTGGGTTCGATGGGGGCACCTGGGTGGTAGAAATTGTGTTGGAAGCATTGATTAGGAAGAAGGGTGTGGAATCATTCTGTCATGGATTTGAGTCCAGCTGTGTTGCTTAATAGCATGTGTGAGGTACTTCATTTGTGTGTTTTGCATCTAGATTTCCCAATCGCAAATTGGTTTAGAAACTTTCATTCATTCACAAGGATTCACTATAATTATCCACATAAAATGTTTCCCAAAACAAGTGGTCTCTAAGGGTTCCACGTTAATTTTTTTTTCTTCTGTCTCTTTAGCTCAAGTGCAGACCATCATTTAACTTCCCACAGCCTCAAACTCCTGGGTTCAAAGTATTCTCTTGCCTCAGCCTCCTGAGTAGTTGGGACTAAAAGCAAACCACCAGACACAGCTAATTTCTATATTTTTAGTAGAGCTAGGTCTCACTCTTCTTCAGGCTGGTCTCAAACTCCTGAGCTCAAGCAATCCTCCTGCCTTTGCCTTCCAGAGTGCTAGGATTATAGGTCTGAGCCACTGTTCCTGGCCCATGTTAACTTGTAACATGAAACCTTGCTGGAAATCCCAATGAAACCTTAATATTTTCCATCCTTTCCTGTGCCAGAGCTTTCTCGCACCAAGGCCCATCTCCTCATGACTGGGCTTTCTGTAACCACCAGTCACCTAGTGTCTGCCCCCTTGTGGCCTCCTTACCCTTGGTCTTCCGGAATTCCTCCAGGAGGTAGCCAGCCTCTTCCTGGATCCTCTCCTCAATGCTCCGCTTACCCATCCCAAAGTCTCGAAGGATGGTCAGAGAGAAGCGTCTGAGAATCTTCCATCGATCTCCATTGGCCATAACTACACCTGCAAGACCTTAGTGTCAGGCTTCTGCCTGCCCTCCCCTTCCTGTGTTCAACTTTGTGCTAGACAATGATGGAGACAGACTATTAAACCTCTAGATACTATTGTCGAGGAAGTCCCTCTCAATCCTCCAGGCTCAATGAAGACACTAGTATTCCCTCTCTACAGACTAGACTGAGGTAGGAGAAAAGGGAATCGCTTTAGGAGTGATCGGAGGACAACAAAGAGAGTTCTTATAAAAAGGAAAAGTGGAACTGAATGAATAAATAAGTAAATGGATAAATTCATGGAAGCTAGAGGTAAGGATAGAATGCATCCAGAGTACTAATGTTAGTTTGTGAATAACACTTGGATTCTCTAGACATATGTACATATGTGTACACAGAAACTCACACTTCTACATCAATATGTCTAAAGAAAAAGAGTTACCATGTAGGAAGAAATATTTCAAAATCACCAAATGTATGCATTGGTTAGAGTCTCATTCCAATGCATTCCAACCATTATTTATCTGTCTCAAATCATTGATCCATTAAAGTTTCACCCACCTATGAAGTCTTTCATCCATCCAACCATCCATCAGACATTCCGCTCATAAACTCTTTCTTCTACTCATTAATCCACCAAAATAATTTCAGTTAATATCACTAATAGATGGATGATTTAATGAATGGGTAGATGAAAAGATGGATAGAGAAAAAGCAGTTTAATTTATAAATGTGTAGATAAAAGAATAAAAGCCATTCTATAGAAAAAATAATTAATACATGAGTTTTTATTAATTATTTATGGCTTAATGGACATGAAGAAGAAAAGGTGCAGGATAGATAGATGGAAAGAATGGGGTGAGCCTGCTGGAAAGTGAAGGATGTGGGTGTTCAGAGATGAATGTAATGGAAAAAGGGCTCTACCTCATAAAGGAGGCAGAGACCTATGGGAGAGGTATGTATATGTGTGTATGAAGATGGAAAGTAACATTGGCTATGAGGGTTTTAGGGGCTACAGAAAGAGTATCACTCAGTAATCTAAGAATAAGAAGAATAGAAGTGACCCAGAAAACACTCCAGGGACAGATAGCATGGATTCAATTTAAAGTGGATGCACCACTTGCTATGTGACAGAAGCTAACCTTTCTTGCCCACAGCTTTTTCATTTATAAGACAGTGTAATATTTCTCTGAAAGGAGTTGCTACAATAAAAATCCATGTAGAGTGATTATCAAAGAAAGTGGAACGTGAGGAGTACGTCATAATCATTTGTTTTTATTGTTGTTGTTGCTACCTACCATGACCTTGGAAGTTTTGCTCTATTGTAGCCAATTCTCCACGGCCACTGAACTCATCTCCTTGGTCTACCAGAGCTTCCTTCACTGCTTTATGTCCACATAACACAACCACTGGCCGGGGGCCCATGTACACAGTGAACACGGGGCCATATTTCTCCCTGAGCTGGGAGTGAAGGAAGACATAAGAGGAGGTGTTAATCAGAATACCAAATATAGACAAATCAAGGGTTTTAGGGGATGGAGACTTCAGAGTGATATAAATGTGGGAATCATGAATAAAGCTAACCTCTGGGCTTGGGAATCCTACTACTGGGAAAGGGGCACAGAAATCTTGGGTCCTGTGATCTTGGGCGAGAACCCACCAACACTTCCTGAAAGACTTAGATACCTCATCTGTAAAATATTAAACCTGGATTAGAGGTATTCCAAGACTCATGCTTCCCCCTGAAATGTTACATTTCTCAAATGTTTCAATTTCATGACACTAAGTCTCAAAGCTCTAAGACAACCTGAGGTCAAGGGTCCTTACAGTCCTTAGATTGTGAGAGTCTTATTTCAATGCTCTAGGAATTTTTGCTTCCAAATTTTACAATTCTGGAATTGAAGGATGCTAGGATTTGGCAAGTCTGTGTTTCTAAGAGTCTATTTTTGATATGCCATGAGATTGCATGTGTATCCAGCATTATTTCCTTCCAACCATAAGAGAGGAGACTCACCTTCATGAAAGACTGAAATGTGGCATCAGGGCGAACTTGTAGCAGGTTCCCCAGGAAAGGTATTGGTGTGGGACCTGGGGGAAGCTTTCCCCCCTTGTTGATTCGTTTCCAGACAAGAATGATGGTCAGACAAGTCAAGCAGAGTTCCAGAAAGATGGTCAAGGCTCCTCCCAGCTCCATGGTGGTAACAGGCCAAAGGGTTGTATCTGGGTGCCGGATCCTGCCTAAATAGGTTCTGGGAGATCAGCTTATACAGAAATCTGAATACCCTGGGACTCAAATATTCTGGGCACGGATTCCATCAGGAAAGATCATTTTCTCTGCAGGATGATTATATAACCTATAATCTTCCCACCTGAATAAAGGTATATTGTTTTGTGATGTCTGAGTACCGCCTGTATATTTATTTAATATTTCTTTAATGTGACTATCATGTTTAACTACTTAAAGTTATTCAAGAGGGAAGCTTGATCTCTCTCCCTTAATCGAAAATTAGCTGTGCTCTATCATATTTATTAAAATACCTGCATGTTAGTTATCTAATACTGCATAACAAAACAGCTCAGAACTTAGTGGCTTAGGATGACAATAATGATTTGTTCTTTCCCACACTTTCTGGGTGTTAATGTAATTTAATGCCGTAATCTCACATTTCCATTGTGAAGTCTTGCTGGTGCTTACACCCACCCCAATTTCTCTCACTCTCAAATTTTAGGTTAGGGTATCAGCAAAGAGCTACAGCATGTCAAGCCCTGAAGAGGTCTTAGAGACTTTTTTTTTTTTTTGAGACAGAGTCTTATTATGTCACCCTCAGTAGAGTGCTGTGGCATCACAGCTCACAGCAACCTCAAACTCTTGGGCTTAAGTGATTCTCTTGCCTCTGCCTCCCAAGTAGTTGGGACTACAGGCACCTGCCACAACGCCTGGCTATTTTTTTGTTGCAGTTGTCGTTGTTGTTTTAGCTGGCCCGGGCTGGGTTCAAACCCTCCAGCCTTGGTGTATGTGGCCAACACCGTAACTACTGTGCTACGGCCACCAAGCCCTTAGAAACATTTTAGTTCTAAGTTTCTCAAATATTTTTAGTCCAGGGTTTCTGAGAACATTTTAAATTTAGAGTTAAGTGGTACTTCCAGTCCCATCATGGAATATAGATTATCAATTAGGAGACATTGCAAGAGTCTTTGGAAAGAGGATAAATGTATGGATTTAGATCTTGCAAGTGATGATAATAATATATTTAACAACCGGGCAGCACAGACAGACACCTGTTGGAGATGGAGCAGGCCCCTTTACCTGCTGAATTATGGGGTGATTGATCCTAGAGAAGTGGCTTTAGGAAAACAAGTACTTCTGGGGAAGGGACAGAATGACCTTTCATTTTCTCCTGGATTTTTTCATTACGAGCAGAAAGGTACGGCCAGTGGACAGCTGTTGCTGTTAGTCTCAACCAGCAAGTGTCCTCAAACTATGGCCAGTGGGCCACACGCGGCCCACCTAGGACGTTTATCCGGCCTGCCAGGTGTTTTTGCCGCCGCTGCCTGTCCTGCTTAGCAGCCAACTCGTCCTGGGGCCTGCAGTCCGGCCCTCCAACGGTCAGAGGGACAGTGAACTGGCCCCCTGTTTAAAAAGTTTGAGGACCCCTGCTCAACCAGGAATGAGTTTATAGAGTCCCAGGAACCAAATTCTAGAGGCTGAATTTGGCACATGGGTGATTTTTCTTTTGGAGAATAGAAAGGATAGTAAGTAAATAGGGCTTTTGGTCTCTTTCCTTTGGCTAAGAAAAGTTACCTAAAACATGGAGGGAAAAATGATTATGGGACTTTTTGAAGTCAAGCTAAACATATTCCCTCAGAGGCCTATTTAAGGCTTCTCATTCCAAAATGGAATGTTTGTCCATTTGCACAATTGATTATTGTCTAAGCTTTTTTCTAATAGTTATGTAAAACTGCTAAATCATGATGACTTTCTCTTCATGGTAAAGAAAATAAGAGGTCTTTATCTAACAAATGCAATCAATGTAACCTGGTTCTTTGTACCCTCAATGAATCCCCAACAATAAAAAAAAAAAAGAAAGAAAGAAAGAAAAGAAAAGAATCCCTGCAATTTAAACAATAATGCGAGAAAATTCAACAGCCAGTTCTGTGTTTTATCAGTATGCCTTTAAAATCCCAGTGCTCCCTTTGTGTTTAGAACCAGCTTTGTTTACATGTACTTTCCTCATTAATGAATTAATTAATATTTAACATATGAAACCATCTATTTTAAGAATAATGTTTTTATCATTACGAGAATAATCCATTCTTCATCCCCCTTCTCTTCTGCCTCTCTGCCTTCCTCTCTCCTTTCCCCTTTTTTCATTTACCTTTATTTCCCTTCTCTTCTTTTTCCATCTCTTTCTATATCTTTCCCCTTTCCTTTTTATCCTCTCTCCAAGAGCGTCCTCAACTGTATTCCTTCCTCGTCTTTCTTCTCTCTCTCCTCTCATGCTTTCTCTATCTGTGTTTCCTCTCCTCTCCTTTCTCTCTCTCTCTCCTGCCCCACCCATCTCTACTTCTCTCTTTTACATTTTTAAAGGTTAAGAACGTGAAATTTGCCCAAAGACAGATTTGTGTTCCAGTTCTCAGCCCAGAAGTTCTTCTTCTGTGATTATTGGCAGGTGACTCTGTCTCTTTGAGCTTCTTTACAGAAAAAGAAAACTCCTATCTCTATCTGCCATAGAATTATTAATGAAATTGCTACTTGTGATTATGCATAAAAAATACTTGGCACTATTCAAGGACAAAATCTCTGTCCCTAGAGGAGGGGTAGAAACATATGTGAAGGCCACAGTTCTGAGTCACAGGTGACCCCCTCTATGGGGGTCAGCACAAAATGTAAAGCTCAGGAATCAGAAGTGAGACAAAAATAGTCACTGGAAGAATCTGAAATCTTTGGTGCCCATAACAAGAAGAAACCTCAACATCAGTAACTGGGACAACAGCAAACTTCTGCTGAAGCCCAACTCCTGGTTAGATTAACACAAATACAACACTAAAAACTTGACTTAAACATAAGACTTGAAACTTTAAAACTCCTTACCAAAAGAAAACATAAGTGGAAGGCTCCATGTTGGTCTTGGTAATGATTTTTTTTGATATGTCCCTCAAATGATAGGTAATCAAAACAAAAACAGACAAATGAGATCACACCAAAACTATAAAGTTTCTGCACTAAAAAGAAATTAATCAACAGAGTGAAGAGACAACTTATGGAATGGTACAAAATACTTGCAAACCATATACCTGATAAGGTGTTAATATCCAAAATATATCAGAAACTCAAACAACTCAACTTTTTTCAACAAGGAAAAGAATACCACAATTTAGTAATAGGTAAATGACCTGAATGGACATCTTCCAAAAGAAGACGCACAAAATGGCCAAAGTATGTGAAAAAATGTTCAACAGGTGTCTCTCTCTCACTAAGGGACAGCAGATTCTGACCTGTAGGGCCTTGGACAACCCCTTCAGTAGGTCCTGAGTGGGATGTGGAGAGCTCTGCAGTCTGTGGGCTGCTGGTACCAACCTCTGCCTACCTGACCTGGCATCCATGAGGCCCTCGTGCTATGAAGCAGCCTGCAACTTCCTTGCCCTGACTTGGCCCCTGGAACCCTTCTCCCCATGCTTACTTGGCACTGACCCTGCCCTACAGGTCAGATCAGCCCTACTGTTTACATGGCCCTGCTTCTGGCTCAGAGGTTCTGCTAATAAGCTCTGCTTCAGGCTTCTTTCCAGGCCCAACTCTGAGGCTCTCACACTGGAGCTGAGACTCTGTCCCTCTGACCCCAGAAATCCTGCCAGGTGGGAGACACCAGAATTCCTAAGGCTTTAGCACTGCACCTAGACTCCAAAACCCCATCTCGGAGCCTTCACCGCCAAAACATGACTAGAACTGCTCCAAAGTCCAATTCTCCATCTGGAATACTCAGCCTTGAGCTGCCAAGACACTGTGACCTGCTTAGAGAAAACACTCACAGCCCAGAGACCCAAGACAGCTTTATCCAGCTGCTGCTATGATGTCTGCGGGTAGACTCTAGGTAGAGCAATCCGCACAACACTTTCCTAAGCAAAGGGGTTCTTCCCCAGCTCCAAACCGGAACATCCTACAAATATCTGGAGATTTCCCTGCTAGGAACAGGAGTCTTGCAAATCTGTTGACCCTGAATTGACAAAAGAGGTCTGGGATAAGAAGACATCTACAAAAGAAAATTGGATTGGAAAGGCTTTTAAGGTTGATTAACATTCTACTGCATATATAATACCACGTTTTTGCTTAACCATTCATCCATTAATGAACACTTGGGGTGCTTTCACCTTTTAGCTATTGTGAATAATGCTGCTATGAACATAGGTGTATGTACAAGGCTTCCTAATCTCAGCATAACTATTTAAGATTCATTCATTTTGTGTTCATCGGTAGTTAACTATTGTTCAGCAGTGTTGTGTGAATATACTACTATTTGTTTATGTATTTGCCTATTAACGAACACCTGGGCTATTTCCAATTTTTGGTTATTATGAATAAAGTTTCTGTGAATTTTTTTTTTTTTGAGACAGAGTCTCACTATATCGCTCTCAGTAGAGTGCTATGGCATCACAGCTCACAGCAACCTCAAACTCTTGAGCTTAAGCAATTCTCTTGCCTGAGCCTCCCAAGTAGCTGGGACTACAGGCACCCACCACAATGCCCGGCTATTCTTTGCGGCAGTTGTCATTGTTGTTTAGCTGGCCTGGGCCAGGTTTGAACCCACCATCCTCGGTGCATGTGGCTGGCACAATAACCACTGTGCTACCAGCGCTGAGCCTCTGTGAATGTTTTTACAAAAGTATTTTGTGTGTGTGTGTGTGTGTGTGTGCATGTCGGAAGAGATTCAGACATTTCTAACTTCAAATCTCAGCATACCTAGGTCATAGGTGTATGACTCTGGGGCTTCTCTTTACCTAAGATTAATTATTTTTATGAGGGTCTTCTCTCCTTCTGCCTGCTCCATTGCCTTCCCAGATTGGATCAAGTGAAAATAAGAATGCTGGGGACACAGCTTAGTGCCTGTAGCTTAGTGGTTAGGGCACCAGCCACATACACTGGGGCTGGGGGGTTCGTACCCCGCCCAGGCCTGCTAAACAACAATGACAACAATAACAACAAAAAATAGCCAGGTGTTGTGCCTGCAGGTGCCTGTAGTTGCAGCTACTTGGGAGGCTTAGGCAAGAGAATTGCTTAAGTTCAGATCTTCCTAAGGAGCCCAACCCACTC